CTGCAACTTCCCTCTCAGTTTCTGATGCTCAGCCTTCACTTGCTGACACACTAGGCACCCATTCACGAACCTCGCCACTTGCCTTTTCATACCTCGCCACCAGAAAGACTTCCTCAGGTCTTGATACATTTTTGAACTACCAAGATGGACGGTGTACGGGGCACTATGGGCCTCTCTCAGAATCTCCCTTCGCAATTCCCACACCTTCGGAACACAAAGTCTACCCTCGAAGACCAAGGCCCCATCAGATGCGACTGCGAATCCACCAACTCTACCGGCTTATGACAACTCCCTCATCCGGCATAAGAAACGGTCATTCGGTTGCTCGGCGACTATCCTCTCTCGAAGAGTTAGTCCCACAATAAAAGAGGCCAACACGCCCCCGGCTGTCGAAGTCGACTCCACTGCCTCTAGCTGTAGCCGCTCAAAATCTCGAAGAAGGACATCCTGCCCAGTAAACAAGCAAGATAGCAGGCCATAACTGCTCCGACTAAGGGCATCGGCTACCACATTAGCTTTCCCAGGGTGATAGCTAATGGTGCAGTCGTAGTCCTTGACCAGCTCCAACCATCTACGCTGCCTCATGTTCAACTCCTTCTGAGTGAAAATGTACTTTAGGCTCTTGTGGTCGGTAAAGATCTCACACTTGCCTCCATAGAGGTAGTGCCGCCAAATCTTCAAGGCGTGGACAACTGCAGCTAACTCGAGATCGTGAGTGGGGTAGTTCTGCTCGTGAGGCTTCAGCTGCCTCGAAGCATAGGCTACGACCCTCCCTTGTTGCATCTGGACACATCCCAAACCCATCTTCGAAGCGTCACTATAGATGGTGAACTCTAAAGTAGGGTCGGGAATAGATAGAACGGGCGCGGTAGTGAGTCTCCTCTTCAACTTTTGGAAACTCTCCTCACACTTAGGACTCCAATCGAACCTCACGGCCTTCTTCGTAAGGTTGGTTAGTGGCTGGGCTATCTTCGAGAAGCCCTCTATGAACCTCCGGTAGTATCCTGCAAACCCCAGGAAACTACGAACATCAGCGGCACTTCTTAGCGTATCCCACTTGCTCACTGCCTAGATCTTGCTGGGATCCACCTCAATGCCTCCCGCTCTCACAATGTGGCCAAGGAATTCCACACGATCCAGCCAAAACTCGCACTTCGAGAACTTAGCATACAGCTTCTCGCGGCGAAGAGTCTCCAGCACAATCCTCAGATGCTCCTTGTGCTGGTCGATGCTCTGAGAATAAACCAAGATGTCGTCGATGAACACGATAACAAACTGGTCCAGGAAGGAATGAAAGACCCTATTCATAAGGTCCATAAAAACGGCCGGGGCATTGCTGAGTCCTAACGGCATGACTACGAACTCATAGTGGCCATAACGGGTACGGAAGGCAGTCTTAGAAATATCCGACTCCCGGATCTTCAGCTGATGATAGCCAGACCGCAAATCAATTTTCGAGAAGACACTGGCTCCTCTCAGTTGGTCGAAGAGATCCTCAATACGAGGAAGGGGGTACTTGTTCTTGTCTGTAAGGGTATTCAGCTCCCGGTAGTCAATGCACATACGCATGGATCCGTCTTTC